GGGGGCACCTCCCCGTCTTCTACTGCTACCTCTCTCTCTCTCTAGTTTCTGGTGAAAGAGTGCCAAAGGGGAATTGTATTGGTGTTTGTGGGGGGTAAAAATCTCAGGTGGAGCAGTGGGGCAAATTCAAAAACCTCTATGGGCCAAGCCCTACTAGCTTTGGGCCAAAATCTCAATAGTCGTCCACCCAACATTTTAAATTTAAAATAATCATAATTTATTATGATGTTTCAATAAATTAATAATGTGGCACATAAGTCTTTATTATATTATATGGATATTGCAAAAGAGATTAATTTATATGTATCGAGAGTGTTATAAAAAATTATATTATCACGTCATTCAAAAGACGTTCATAGCTGTTTCTTCTTGAAATAGTGTGAATCATAATTTCGTAGATAAGATATTTAATCTGCTATAATAAGTAAAAGAAGTATGATAGTGTAAAAAAAAATTAAATTCCATATGGGTATTTGTGACAACCCAAGTCTATGACACGTATTATCAGTTTTGAGCCTAGGCTCACACGAATTTATGTTTCGAACTATGCCACATCAAGTCCCAAAAGCGCATATATTATGTGAACTTGTGTTGTGGCTTATAAAGCTCTTAACTTTTCTCTCCTATTCCGATATGGGATTCGCCTAAGGGCATGTACACCCGATCTTCATAAACTTGCCGGCTTAGAAGTCCTGCTGGCTCTCCGTCATGGGTGTCACATTCGCCCCCCCCCCCTACACACACACACACCCCACACGCGCACACACACTTGGGACTCAGTGTCCTCACTAAGGTTTGTCCCACAACTCTACTGCGGAGAGTCGGCTCTGATATCCTATTGGTCACATTCCAAGCCCATTGCACATATTGCCACTTTGGGCATAGGCTTGCACATATTTGTCTTTCGAGTTACGCCATATCGAGCCCAAAAAACGCACGTATCATGTTGTGCCTCATAAAGCTCTTCTGACGTGCGATTCGCTTAAGGTGACATATGCACTTTTTTAAAAATTTATCATCCTAGAAGCCTGTCAGTCCTGTTTGACCCGCCCTCCGTCATGGGTATCACACTATTAGTCAAAATCTTTTCAAAAAATAAACTTGATAACTCATGAATTTCATAAGATGTATTTGTTTATGGGGCACGTTACATGATCGCGCTTCGGCCCTTTTTGGTGACTCTCCTCTAAATTACACTGATTAATTAAAATTCGTGCGATTTGGAGGTAATGATGCGGATCGTACCATATGTTTTATTTCACGTTCCAGTGAGTTAGCCTAAGTTCATCGTGTTCGTGATGTCGAGAACATGGTGCTTTTGTCCTACACCTCAAAAAATTACATTACATTCGGAATGCCAACAAATATCGAACGCCAAATAAGAAACCAAAAAAATAATAATAATGTTTGCGATTAAAAAATAATTTTGAGTCTAGAGAGTTGGACGAAATTGAATTTCTGCATATAGTTGATGCACCTAATATATGGTTACGAAATTTGACCGGCCTCTCATAGACTCATACTATAAAGGAGTGAAATTAATGTAATATTCTATTTGAAATCAAATATGAGGTTCATGCTACAAGTTGGAATCACTTTTTCCAATTTTCTTTATTAAAAAAAAATGACAAAGTTTGGTTGTGCATTTAGAGGGAAGTAAAAGTATTTTGGGAAAAATACAAAATAGGCCCTTGGTCGAAATTAATTGCATTCAGTAGCCAAAATATATTTAAAATATATATATTTTCTTGTATATAATACATATATATACAAAAGAAAAATATATGCCAGCTATTATTTTTGTGAGGGATAAATATATATATTTCTCAGTAATTTTCATGTATACTTTAGGGTGGCTAACGTATTAACCAATGAGAATTAAAAAAAAAAAAAAAAAAAAAAGACCACTTTTGTTGCAATAATCTCAATCCAAGATAATAGGACTCATAATCACACACATTTTAATCTAACTAGTATCTATAAACGTGCGTTTCACGTTAATAATGACACATGATGATTTAAATATTTATTTGTATGAAGGAAAAAATAATTAATTAATGAGAGAAATTTTATGTATAATAATACAACAATCATATAAATGTCGAAAAATATTATTACATTAGCATAATACGTGAATTCAAAATGAATGGACATCATTAGAACTTAAGAAATGATTAATTTAGTCATGTTAATTAGATAATTATGTATTGTTGTTTAAAGGTATCTAATATGATAATATCTTACCGAACATTTTTTTGTAAACGATGTTTTTTTGTGCATGTTTCCTTCTAATAATTTGGTTATTCTTCCATAACCAGAACTCTTGTTGTCGATATTAATATCACTCTTGAAAGTGCAACATATAGTTATTCGTGCAAGAAAATATATTGTTGTAAACATAGTTCAAGATTTAGGATGTTTGTCCTTGTGCTTTATTTATTATAATTACAAAACATAAGCATATTAAAAATTATTTTTACACAAATTTTAAAGGATATTCTTTATTTTTGGAAGACGAAAGTTGATTTCAAGGATAAAAACGTACTTAAAAGCACGTTAACCAGTATCATAATTTCTGCATGTATGATTTTATTGTCGAAACTTCAATATACTAACTATGTACTATTACATAAGCTATTCGGCGGATCTAAGTTTTCAGTAGCATGACGAGCATATTTTTCTTTATATGCAATCAAAGGTCAATTTTAACTTAGTCTATTATATATATGGTGACACTAACATACGTAAGAAATAATAAACTTGACAACAAACCTGGATGGTAGAAAGTCATTTGATATTAAAGTATTTAAGTATTCTTCTTGGTAGTAATTGTTGGTATCGATCATCTTCGGCTGAGTAAAAACTAAAAAATATTTTATTTTTACCATAAAACTTAGCGATCAACCTTTTATTTATTGATCAATATATTCATTTCTGCTAGCTAAGATAACTCTTTAATTTCTATCATTTAATTTGCACAAATTACGTTTTAATCTACTGATGAAAATATTTTTCTTATTAAATGCACTACTATTACCCTTTGGATTGATAACCAAGTGTTCTGGAAGAACCAAATTATTTTTTATTGGGTGCTCTTCGTCGTTTTCGACTGGAAGTAAGAAGTCACTGAATGTTGGATCTGTTCTTACTTTTATATTTTTTGTTTTGAATCTTTTTCATTTGAGGCCACAAGTATAATTTTGACAACCTAGCTTTTGTAGTCTCTGCTTTCGTCGATTTTGGAACTACTAATAGTACATGACAGAAATCACCTCCTAAACCATTACTTTTCCACCAAATGGTTCGTTGATATCTAATATATCTCTAAAACTCTAGGCAATTGTTTCGATTCTTTGACGTTTAGCCATAAGCCCTTCATCCCATATTATCAATTTGGTTTCCTTATAAATTTAGCACTGTTGCTCTGCTTTGATATATTTGTGATGGTTTTTTTCAGTTGTTTGAAGAGGTATATCAAATCTAAAGTGAGTTGTACGACCTCATAATAAAATTGTTGATGGTATATCAATTGTTATAGCTAACAATGTCCTGCATCTTGGTCTGACATTTACAAGTAATGCATGACATAGGAATATTATTTCGATTCCAGCGGGGGTGTCTACAAAGGATAATTCCGCTATACCAGATTGACTCTTTATAATTAGTCTTGAAAGCTTATTTTTGTTTAGGATATAACTTTGATTGTGCTTTCTCAATCACTTGCATGGCCTTTTTAATACTATATTTTTTTTTTTACTTTGTGATCTAATTTTCTTAATCTCTAACGCTCTTTTTATGGAATAAATTTATGTACCCTAAGATATCTTTTATTGAAAAATAATTTTACTCATATGATGATTCAAAAACTAATTACAATGCATTCTTTGCTAAATAGTTAATTGAAGTTTTGATTATTTGGTTTTAACATAAAAATAATATATTTTGTATTAATTCATATTTTTAATGTTAGTTCATCTCTTGTTTTGAATATTTAATCGTAATTATAATTTTATCCCCCATAAATTTTATTTTAAAAGAGTAAAAAGATCAATATGGCATTCCACTTTTAGATCTTTGTGTTTGCAAAATCATTAGTGGTATTGACTCTTACCAACCTTTTTCTTTCTCTTTCTCACATATTTATAATTTTAAAAAAATTCTTAGTTGTTCTTTAATAATTAGGTATATTTTTCAATATTACACGAGAAATAAATAATAACAAAATATTATTTGAGTAGGAAAGCAGTTCAAATACAATATAAAAATATATTATCATGAGGATTTTTTCTCTCAATTTCAATGCGTTATGTAGTCCGTTTAACATTACTTTTATTTTTTCTTAGTATTGGATATTATCAAGTAGTAATGTATTACCAATACAGAGGATTCTTATGAAATTGATTTTATCAAACATTCCTATATATTTTTAATAAGAATTAAATAGATAAACTTTTATTAATTTTATGATTTCAAATATTATAAATTAACATAGAAGCTATTATAGTCCAAAAAAAAGTTATTAAAGTTATGTTCTTTTCATATGAGTTCTTCTGTTTTTTATTTTAGGGCTATTTTGTTCTATAAATATTGTATTCGAGCTTTTATAATAATATAAGCTCTCCTTTTAAAAAAATAAATTTAGACAATATAATACATGACAACAACAACGACCCAGTGAAATCTCACAAGTGGGGTCTGGGGAGGGTAGTGTGTAAGATCTTACCCCTACTCCAAAGGAGTAGAGAGGCTAATACATTATCAAATTAAATTAGTAATTGAACAATATAATATGTTTTAAAATTAAATTAGTAATATAATTTTTTTAAGAAGTATATCCTAAAAGTAATATGATTACATGACTAAACGTATTAGGATTATATTAATAGGATTCCTAAAGATAATCATGTAGGATTCATAACATATATCATGTCCTAAAACTAATAGGATTACAAGGCTAATGTC